TGATGATGGCTAATAAAGGGTGTGATAACATTTTTAATTTCCAGGCATCCACCTTTATTCTTTTAAATTTCCAACAAGTTTGATGCGACTATGACAAATTAATACTTTGAACACTTTATTCAAAAACTACTATTTTTTACAAAAATGTCAGGTTTTGCGCGTTGTTTCACCTGCTCCACCTACCCTACCCCTAGGTTACTACAGCAACCATATTATTCAGTCTACTGAGTTTCATGATATTAAACTTTTTCAACTTATTCACAACATATTTGGACACATTTTGTCAAAATATCAGCTAGATTGAAAAGAAAACCAATAAAATACAGCATCATTCCTGAAACATATGGAACACCCTGTATTTTGTCTTGACTGTTAATTTTAACCAATGGGAGTTGAGTGTGATTTGTTACATGAGGTCAGGATTTCTTGAATCGTTTGAATAAATAAGTTTCAATTGAATCTCTAATGATCTAATGATCTTTGGAATTTTCATTTTTTCAGTCATCAATTTTTATTTTAAGGAAGAATGTTCCTTGCAATCACTCTTTAGTTATACTAGTAATATTATGTCTTATTTATGTACTACTCCTGGATGGACTTTTAAAAAGCATTGCGATTGTTTGTTGTTTTCTGTGTTATTGAATAATGCATGTACAGAAACAATACTCCCTCTGGTCTCCCTGGCAATCATTGGGCTTTCTGGAGTGCATCTGGGAACTTTTTAATCTATTTTTTTATCTCCAATTCAAAAGCACAAATTCTGAAAAGTAGTAGCATACCTTCGATCTAATAAAATGTCCATGACTATACTATTTATATACTGTCGGTTTAATTCTACAGTCATGTTAGAGCTCTTTTCAAAATTGAAATCAAAATAAGCATTATTGGCAAAATTTTAGACCCACAGTGAATAATAAGAGCCCCTCCCCCCTGAAAAAGTAAAGCCCCCTTCCTGATGAAAGCTGACTTGAGACCCTCAGTAAGTCATCTTTTTATGAGATCAAATGTTAGGTTGTCTCTGCTCAAGGAGACTTTTTAAAAACCAGAAGAGAGACATAGCGAGATAATAAAGATATCATGTGTTCCTGTATGTTCAGATTGACTCCATCTGGTTTGACAAAAAAGGTAATTGGAAAACTTTAGGTTTCTTATAACATTTTACTTTGAAGGTCATCATACCAAGTTTGAGGGATAGGAAATATAAATAGTACAAATTGTGACGAGTCTTGAAAATGGTTTCCTCTCAATTCTAATTTCATTATTTGACAAAAGTATATATTATTGTATCACACTATATATTGTCTGATCAAATATGGAGGTAACTGAAAATTTAAGATACAGAAATGTACAAATTTATTATAGAAATGAAAGAGGGGATGTCCAAAGTTTTCAAAAATATTGCGAGATAACCTTAAGAATCAAAGAATAATTATAAAAGATCAGAATGTCTATATGTTTTAAACATAACAAGGGATGATTCAGCAAAAGGTATTTGTCAACTCATCACAGTGATCTCCACAGGATTTCTTCTCAAGTGGGTGCAAAATTCTCAATTTCACAAGTCAGACCAAAGTTGGTCAAAATATGCCAATTTTTACAATTTTTCTCATTTTCAAGTAGGTGCAAATAGATTTTCAGGTGGGTGCAGCCTATTTTCAAAATCTTAGGTGGGTGCTGCGCCCACTTGCCTTAATGCTGGGGAGATCATTGCATCATTTTATTGTCACTTTAATTTAGTCAGATATGTCAAAAAAGTAAAACATCATAATATTATGAAGATTTCGAATTCCTATGTGTTTCATAAAAAATGAAAATTTCCAGCTGATTGTTAATATAATGAACTTTTGAATCTCACTCTGAGAGAGATTTAAGATTTCTCTCTGCCTAAACGAATTTCTCTTCATTTCTCTCTAAAATTTGAATGACGTTTCCGATTTTCTGTCATTTTTAGAGAGATCATAGTGTCCACAAAACACCCATACACTTAAATCCTTGCATATTCTGCAAATTTCCACTCTTTTTTGAATTACAAAAACACGACCGTCATGACGATTTTCAAGGGTCGAAACTGTGGTATTTCAAGTACCAACCCACTGTCAGAGACTGTGGCTTAACATATGTTTTATCACCTAAGAAAACACATTGGGGAGATAAAGTTCCCTTTATCTGTCATCGCCTCCATGGGAATTAGGAATAAATTACATAAACATCATATTTATATCAGATATCATATTTTGTCTGTGTAAATGTACACAGCAGTGCTGACAGAAGATATATGTTTTTTAGTAAGTTTGAAATGATTATGAACTCCAAGAGATTTCTACAGATTTTTCTTGTCTCATCTGTTGTATTTCAAACTACTCACATACTGGTACTACATATGGATCAAGGATATAACTGGGTTAAAAAGTAAATTATTTTTCTTGAACATTTTTCTATTTTGACTGGAATATGTGTTTTATTTTTGATAATTAGTCATTGTTAGAAATAAAACATATCCCTATCTTTTTTTAATATGTCATACCAATATCATTGTAATTATGACATACAGAAACATGTAGATTGAAATAATTTAACATTATCCCATCCCTCTATTCATCGTACATTTCATTTCTACAATCATGATAGAACATGACCTAAATGTAGTAAATACAAATTAATACAATTGTGATTACTTTAGAAAAATAGGAAAATAATGCAATATAAACATATAACATTATGATCAGCACTGGCAGATCTAGGGGGGGGGGCATGGCATTTGGCCCACCAAAAGTTTTGTAGGGCCTCAAGAATGGGCCTTTTTGGGCATAATTTGGCCTTTTTAGTTCAAATTATCAACATTTTCAAAATTTTGGGCCCAAATGTTTTTCCTGACTCAAAATTTGGGGCCCTTATTGTTAGCTTCTGGATCCGCCAGTGATCAAGATGCTAAATTGCCAGACGTACCATCCCAATTTGTTAAGAGATTAAATTGCTGGAATTAAACATTAGATGCAATAAATGTACATGTAAAGGAAATGCCATTTCTGCTTTAATATCCTGGGGTTCTACCACAGAGGTATAAAGAAAGAATCTACTGAGTTTGCGTAATTTTTCAATGCCTCACAGGGGATGTCGGATATAGATATTCTATGTTCTATGATGATAAAGTGAAGTTTTGCTATAAATCTCCATAGTTTTGTTATCTCCTTATGTTGGGTTCAGATCAACAGGGTCCATTGTTACTATACTGAATGAGGCTAGAGCAATTAGATCTGATATTTAGCATCATTATGTGACCACCAAAAGTGGTGACATATTGTTATGGTCTCCAACTCTTTTAAGACATCGTTCACTGGCTGTTGATTGATGGTTGGTGATTGGTGATCAGAGTCCAGCATCTGTAACAAATGACAGGTGGTGGCATTATGCATATTAATGCCTTGTTTTGTTATTGTAGAAGAAAGAGCAATAAGGCCATTCAACAAAATGGGGCTTATGTAGTAGTTATGAACAAAATGCCCTTCATTCAAATATGGGGGGGGGGGCATTAGCAGCAGGCAACAAGTGATTTTCTTTTCTTCAGTTGTCTACCTTAATTGCCTGTTTGAGGAAGATTGCGACTGTTTCTGTGAAAAATCTCATCTTTTCTATATTGAAATTATCAGTTTTATTTATCGTTCTAATTTCCGTTATACCCGTTTTAAGAAATTCTAGTCTTGAATAAGAGCATATATGGATGCTAAACATTTTTTTTTTACTTCAGCCTTATTCTATGATTTCATTGGGGAAACTGGTTTTCTTAATATGGAAATAACTCAGATAAAAAGAAAAAATATCAATGTAAACAGAGATGCATGCTGCCTTTGGTTTTATCAATGAGATATTTGTAAAAATATGATTCTTTTCATGTTGTATCAATGTGTTTATTTTGGAACATATTCGAAATTAGTTTTCTTAAAAGTGTAACTTGATATCTTAATAAATAGATATTCAGGTTATAGTGACCTGGATTAAAAAGATGCAAACACCAGGTGTTTGTATTACATTTTGTTTTTTAGAATTGAGAACACTGTGATCTGTCAAAATATTAAATTTCAAAAAAGTTACAAAAATATCTGTTATAAAAAATGACATACAGGATTCCCATTCAGATATTGCGTGAAAGTACATTTAGAAACCTCAAAGTAGAATTTATTTTCATGAATAATTTTTTAGACTTGAGCACTAAGATTTTTAATGCCAAAATGAGCCTTAAAATCAAATCAAGCCATTTTGAAGAAACATTTTGGTAGCTTGTTTTTTACTGATAAATTCTCACGATTTCCTAACATTTTCTAATACTCTGCTCATGAGGAAATTTAAATCTCAAATCTCATTTGAATATTCCCCAGACCAACTTTGGTTAAGTCAGTAGCAATGTTGCGATTCTGGCAAAAATACTAATATTTTGAGTTTTCAACATTTGGCATACCCTAAGTCTCATAGGATTAATTATTTGATAGCAATATCTTATGATTAATAGCTGAAATATTTTAGTACACTTTAGCATTTTATCTTAGTTTGATACTTGTATCATGGTTAATTTGGACGATTTTGCTTGATGGAAACTTTCTGTTCAGTCAAGCATTTTATCTTGTTTGATATATTTTACATGATTAATTTTTGGAGAATTTGGGTGGTGTATAGTATGATCATTTTGAGTTAGAAAGGTTCTAGACTTACACCACATGTTTTTCGAAAATATCTTGAGTTACGATTTTTAGAATTTACTTGTCTTTGATGATGTTGATTAAAAATTCTTGGAAGACAGTCATTGAATTTCAGGAATCGTAATTCAGAACATTCCAGTTGAGAAATTTTAAAGACTGCCAAAATCTTTCAGGTTTCCTTCCGAGGAACTTCCAAAATGAAACATCCTACCATACATAAACTATGGGCCTAAATAATGGAACATAAAATTATATTTTTAAAAAGTTGTGTATAGAAAATTACATTCTATGTACTGTGTATATTTCCAGAGGGGAGCAAGGTTTCTAGAACTGTGTGAGAGAGCCTCCGATATTGGTCTTCTATCACAACAAATGGCTTTGCAATGGGTAAGTAGAGACTCTTCATTTGCAATGTATGAACCATGGTATTATGTCACCACCAGAAGTAGTGACATATTGTTATAGTCTCTAACAGATGGGGTTCAGCGGCATAAATGGCAGGTGGTGACATTATAAAGTGGTCCATGTTTCCAATCAGTTGCCTCAAAGGACATCCATCTTGGCTTCCCTGACAGATTTGATATTAGTGAATTTATATCATAAAACATACCTTAATTTCAATTATAAGCATGCTACCATCTTACCATCCCATAAATAGACATATCAGTCATGTACAGTACATTGTTCAGTGTGTAAGAGTACAGTGTGTAAGACTCTCCACTTTTGAAAAGGGTAAGTCTAATGTCATACATGCTTTCTCATTTCAGATAGAGGCCACTTCAAACCTTGGTAAAGTTGAGTCACTTTTGCAAGTGTGCTCTAAATGTACCAAACAACACCCTACATCTGTACAGCTGTGGACACGTCACCTAACAGCTGTGGCAGAGACACTTGTTAATGAAGACACACAACAGAGTCTCTTTGATGTGTTTAATAAAGCTTTAAAACTTGTAGATCCAAAGGTATGTACTGTAACTCTGTTCTTATATTGCAACTACCATAGGTAATTACAGTGTATGAGCAATTTGACTACTAATGCCATCTATCAAATGCACAAGAAAGAAATAGCACTAAAGTAAGATTTATTAATATTTATGGCAGACAAGACAATGTCAGACCCTTTCCCTATTGCAATACTGTGCCAAAAGACACATACATATACCTAGGGTTATATTATTTTATAGTGGACAATTATATTGCCCTATCAATACGCAAATGCAGATAAATACATGTCTCCCAAGCATTTCAGCAAGTGGGCGCAGCACCCACCTGAGATTTTTAAAATAGGCTTGCACCCACCAGAAAATCCAGTTGTACTCACTTGAAAATGAGAAAAATCATGAAAATTGACTTACTTGACTTATTTTGGTCTAAATTATGAAAATGAGAATTTTGCACCCACCTGAGAAAAAATCACTGAGATGTTCTACTAATGCCATCTTTATTTGAGAAAGAAAGATAAAGCACTAAAATGCAGACCTTTGCCCAAACAAAGAAGCACCTGCAATTAATATCTACTATTATACAATTCCAGGAGAGTCTACCTCTGTATACTGTAGTAATCAACTGGTGTCTGGCTGTCAATTCTTCTGAGATAGAGCAAATATTTAAGGTAAAGCTTTCAAAGGATGATACTTCCAAAGGGACTTTCTCCTTCATATTGTGTATTATTCATGTAATATGTAAGGGTAGACAATACGAGTTGATATGATACAATACAACACAATATGATACAAAAATACAATATGATATGGTACAATACAACACAATATGATACAAAAAATACAATATGATATGATACAATACAACACAATATGATACAAAAATACAATATGATATGGTACAATACAACACAATATGATACAAAAAATACAATATGATATGATACAATACAACACAATATGATACAAAAAATACAATATGATATGATACAATACAACACAATATGATACAAAAATACAATATGATATGGTACAATACAACACAATATGATACAAAAAATACAATATGATATGATACAATACAACACAATATGATACAAAAAATACAATATGATATGGTACAATACAACACAATATGATACAAAAAATACAATATGATATGGTACAATACAACACAATATGATACAAAAATACAATATGATATGGTACAATACAACACAATATGATACAAAAAATACAATATGATATGGTACAATACAACACAATATGATACAAAAAATACAATATGATATGGTACAATACAATATAATGTATTTACAGAGAGGCTGTGAGGCATGCAGGGAGGTGTCCGTAATACTGAAAGAGCAGTATTTAGAATGGTCAGCACTAACTCAAGGAATACACACAGCAAGGAAAGTCTATAATGGGTGGGTACATTCAAATGTTATTGTTATGAAATCAGAGATTGTGAAGGGCAACAATCATAAGAGACGTAACATTTAGATGGTAAGGAATTCAGAAAACAATATTCTTTACATATTACCAAGTCAAGTCTGGTCATTTTGATTTCCTACTCACATCCATGTCTCCCAATTTTGTTTTTTATCGCACTTTATCAAAATGATATATCTGTGTGTTTTGTTAAAATGTACATTCCATATTATTATGTCACCAACAGAAGTTGTGACATATTGCTATAGTTTCCAACCTTTTTGTGGATGGTGTTTGATAGTGGTGTCAATTAACTGCTTGAGCATTAACCGGTTAACTGGGTGTTTTTACTGGTTAAAGTCGGTTAACCGGCGGGAAATTTGAACTGATAATTTCAAATGAAATCTTCATCTTCGATCTTGAAAGTTGAAAAAATTGGAAAAATGATATATCGGCGTTTATTTTTTACATTCGTCAAGCTTTACTCGATTCTATTCATACACTACCTGACTACCGGTACCTCTCAATTACTTATCACTGACTGGTTTACCCTTGGAATCTCCACGAACGCACCATAAATAATGAGAATTGCAGCTGATTATTTTAATTTTAATTTTCTCACTACCAAAGCAAGGCTTTGACCTTTGACATTTTGGCGACGTTGATAGACAACAATATTAGAGACCTTAAGATTGCACCAAATAGTAACCTGTACCTGTACCTGTACGTGAAACATGATGCGCGCGCAACAAATCATGTAACTTTATGCTCCATTCGACACGTCTGACTTGTTTTATAATCCCGTTGACGTGTAAATTCAATAGCGCCTGGCGTTTTTGTCGTCTTGTTGCGAACCTGTACGCGAAAGATTGTGAGTGAGATCAGTATTACATAACTATGTACTATTTATTTCACGGTCTCATTCATTTTACACGTGCGGCAAGACGTGAATTTGGCACTTTACAGGTTGGTTGGAACGTGAGTTTTGAACCATTGATAAATGACTAAAAAAACAATGTGCTGTTTATTTATGTTACTAATTTAAAAGTAACATATCTGTCGAATAGCTGTGTATGTGCTATGGTTCAATGAATAACGAATCCTATGGGTAAAGTTGCAGTTAATTTCAAGTATGAAATAATGGCAATTCATATTGCCATTATTGTATCACTTAAGTGAAAGCCATACTGTTCCGGCAGACTAGACTATTTCGCTTTCTCCTTTACATGCCAGAGTGTTTTGTTGATCAGTTGTTTGATGTAAAGTATGCGAAAATTTTAAAAAATCGAAACCATCAAATATTACTTTTGAAACCATGGAATATCACTTTTAATATAAAAAGTGATATTCAGTGCTTTCAAGATTTCAAATATGAAAAAGTGAGATTCAAAAGATGGTTTCAAAAGTGATATTCGATGGTTGTTTTTGCTAAAATATGATATCTTGATCCACATATCAAATATATCTTCAGGTGATATTCGATCTATATCCTTGCAACCATGGGATAAGTGCGGGTTATGGGAGGTTCTGTATTTTGGATATATCCTATCTTGCTAAGGGGAATATAGATATCTTACCGAGGGCCCGGACGGTACGAAGTAAGATACCATATTTCTCGAGGGATATACCCCATATTCAAAACCGAGCATCGCATAACTGATTTATCTCATGACAAGTAAGATTTCACGAGTGCGGTTTTTAGGACACCAATAGTGCAGATTTAATTTTTAAAGTGTTCTCATTCTCATTATTTTCGAAAAAACCATCAACATTTTGGTCAAAAGAAATGCTACCGTCTGCTGCATCCATTTTGACAGTTTCGCTTTTGCAAGATATAACATAAAAAATTGACTGTTTCTATGCTGGACAAAAACGTTTTCCCCGGAATATTGGAGCGAGAGATATACAGCGGGGGATATATATGTATGTACGGACAATCCTATGGTTTTGAAAAAATATAATTTATATCCACTCATGAATATCAATATCTTTTCTCATTCACTGCGCTCACTTGTGAAGATATCATATATCCACTCATGGACATTAATGGGTAATGATTTCCCTGGGATAAACGGACAATCCAATGGTTTTAAAAAATATCATTTATATCCATTCATTGATATCAATATCGACACTCATCAATTGCGCTCACTCGTGAAGATATCATATATCCACTCATGGATATAAATGATATTTTTACAAAACCATGAGATATTCCTATATTATCCCGTGGTTGCAAGGATACAGATCGAATATCACGTGAAGATATATATTTGATATGTGGATTAAGATATCATATTTTAGCAAAAAATGTCCCAAACCATCGAATATCACTTTTTAATCAAAATTATTTTTTTGTTCAAATTTTTTGTCGCATTTTTTGATTTCTTTCAAATTATTGTTTGAATTATTTTTAAAAAAATTCAAATAAAACAAAAAAATTCAAATTTTTCAAATTTGTTTGAGCCTAAAACTTAGAAATAGAAAGATGATACTTCATGAACGAAAAAAGTAGGCTGACCTACTGTAGACAGACAGGCGGGCGGGCGGGCGGGCGGGCGGGCGGACGAACGGACAGGCTGGCAGACCGATAGGCTGGCAGACAGAACGACAGGCTAACAGGCTGAACGACATGTTGGCAGGCAGACAGACCACTGTGCTTTTAGTAAGAACCACTACATAAAACAAACAAGCAATCAAGCAGATTAATACACAAACAAATCTCCTCAAATTATCAAGAGATAAATATCTACATAGTGTAACATAGTCATTTGAATCATATTATTTTATAATGATCAATCCTCATTCATCTAACAGTTTTACACATTAAAAGGTCCCTTCATCTCTTTACATCAGTATTTTAATCCCGTTGTTTTCTTGTCCTTTGTATATGTTTTACTATTCAGTTTCACAATCTATTGTTCCAACCAGTTTTGTTACTTTTCCTTGCTGTGTTTCTTTTTATAATGTTTTGTGTCCTATATATGGCAATCGCATTCACTCAGTTGAGTTTGGGTGTTGGCCCAGTAGCAGAAGTAGTTGCCTTGTAGTTTTATGAACTGAACATGGACACAGAGTCTTTCAAAATAGATTATTTTAGATATTTTAAATACATTTTTCTGTGACTTTTATCTGCCACCCACGGGCTTTCCATCGCCCATTTACAATAGCAACAATTGGAAATAAAAAATCTTTACCTCGCCCAAACACCTAGCACCCATTGGTATATCTGTATGCCTAAAGCAAATTACACTTCCCCATACAGAATCACTATGGATATGTGTGTAGGCCGATTTAAAATATCATACTTTCATCACCAGATACCCACTAATTCCTTGTTTCGTACACGTACACGTCGACGAGTGACTAAGGACTTGTTTTAGGCGCACAAAAAGGAACATTTAAAAAACCTGTACGTGTACGTGTAATTACAGGTACACGTACAGGTCGTCCGTATATCTTAAGGTCTCTATTAACAAAACGGACGAATTAAAAAATGCATATAATTTATTTATGAAATTGTTTTGCAATATGTAAAATTATTAAATAGAATAAATATCTAAAATTCAGGGATTATACATGTAGATGCTGATTGGATGTTAACATGTTTGGGAATTATCTGGCCTATAAGTTGAGTACACATGGCTGACACTTGAGAAACAAACAGATTAACATGCAAAGTAAGCGCGGGAAAGCAATGTGGCAGGGATTAAAGTTGCTGATTGGATGTTTGTAAGGAGTTATCGGACCTATCACATGTATGAGTAGCTCATATGAAACTGACGCTTGAAAAACAAACAGATTAACATGCAAAGTAAGCGCGGGAAAGCAATGTGGCAGGGATTAAAGTTGCTGATTGGATGTTTGTAAGGAGTTATCGGACCTATCACATGTATGAGTAGCTCATATGAAACTGACGCTTGAAAAACAAACAGATTAACATGCAAAGTAAGCGCGGGAAAGCAATGCAGGGATTGAAGTTGCTGATTAGATGTTTGTAAGGAGTTATCGGATCTATCACATGTATGAGTAGCTCACATGAAACTGACGCTTGAAAAATAAAACAGATTAATATGCGAAGTAAGCACGGGAAAGCAATGTGGCATGTGACAAACATCCAATGTTGCTAATTGGATGTTTGTAAGGAGTTATCGAACTTAAGACATGTATGAGTAGCTTATGTGAAACTGACACTTTAAAACTAAACAGATTAGCATGCAATATAAGCGCGGGAAATAACAGAATTATACACGGTCAACTAACCACCCATAAAAACACAGACCGGTCAAGGCATTATCGGCGGTTAACCGGTTAATACTTGACACCTCTAGTGTTTGGCATTCGGTGGTTAGTGGTTGATGTCCAGTGGTTGGTGTTCGGCATTCAGCATCTGTAACCAATCTACACCAAATCTATATAACTAATTAATTGATATTCTACTTAATATACTGTTTACTTTCAAAATATATTGATATTCTACTTATACTGTTTACTTTCAAAATATATTTTCAGTCTGAAGTCTCAGAAACCTTTATCCGTTGAGTTTTTCCTTTGTGCAGTGAGACTAGAAAAAAGCCAGGTGGAGCCACGGATCAAGAATCTGCGACAAATCTACGATGATGCACTATCAGAGTTTGGGGAGTCAGAATCAGGTAATTTGAGAAAGTTGACAATATGACCTTTTTGAAGAAATCAGCCATGTAGTCAACATTCCTTAACTGTATAGAAATGTCATGTTTTAGATTGCAAAATAGAGTACAAATGAATCAAATCAGCCAAAAATAACTTAAACAGGCATACGATAGTCAACATTTTGAATTGTATTGAAATGCCATATGTGTGTTCCAACAACGCAAAGATTTGATTCTTTAGTTGCGAACCATAACTTCCTCTTTGCCAAACATATGTCTCCACTCATCACTGAATTCCCACATTGCAACCTAACATCTGACGTGGGAACTCCATGCGCGGGTGGAGAAATATGTTCAGGAAAGAGGAATTGGTGATTCCCAACTAAATAATTGATATTTGTGTTGTGAGAACTGTGGTTCGGGCGGAAGGAACGTAGTTCACGAGGTCAGAATTGATGATCGCTTGAGTGGAAGTCTAGGAGGCCTAAGAGAGAAATTACAGTCTCATAATACACAAATGGGCATAACGTCATTCAGATATATCACCTCAATTGTCTTGCTGTAACATTGTACTTTTCTAGTAATGAAACGATCCGACAGTGACCTCTTTTATTTTAGGTACAGAGAGTGACCTCTTTAATACACTTTCAAATTCATAAATTAAATAGATATTCACGTTGTCTTGTAAAGATGGTGTTTTCTATCATTGAATGTCCATGTATTCTAACGATGGAGCAGTTGAATGTATTGTCATGAGTGTTACTATTGTGGCTTTGGTTGAGAATAGAATATAATGTAATTAAGAAATATAGACTGAAGAGCAGAGGTAATATCGTCGAATACATCCCGCAGGGCTAGGAAAAAAGGTTTTCTGTACCCAGAACGACTAAAGGGAGTGAGGGGTTCGAAAGCGTTTGTGCTTAGCCCTAAGGGGTGTATTCAGCGATATTACACCTGCTCTGAGGTTTATATTACGATTCGAACATGAAAACTCACCAAAATGTTACGAATCGCGAATATACCCGGGTGAAATGTTGACTTTGTTTGCAGTTTATAGAAGGCACGATTACAGTCATGTTAGAATCACAATTTAAATCATTTACTATTTACTTATTATTTTAAATGTATTGTTATAGCCACCATTGTTTATCTTTTTGTGTCAGATGTTTAAGTGTTGTGTTCTCATTAATATTCGGTAGCCTCAATTATTTTTGTACATACATGTGAATATATTGCGTTTCATTCTGGTTCCAGGATTGTGGTTAGATTATATTAAAATGGAGCTAGAGCACCCCAAAGGACAGCCAGAGAATGCTAGTAAACTACATTGGAGGGCAGTAAAGACTCTGACGGTGACAGATCGCTTCATGACAGAATACACCCTATTACAAACTGGACATCTAGACTAGAATTCATATCCAAGAAAATTTGATAAATCATGTAATAATATTATGAAAATTACATGATGTAGATAATCGATCACTTTAACATTGATAGTAATTTGAAACTCAGGTATCATAAATTCAACAATGGAGGAAAAACTGAGAAATTCAGAAGATATGAAAAGAACTGAATGCACGCATCAAGACACGTTGAACAGCATTCACTTGCATAAACTAAGAGTTCCCTTCGTGAAAAATTTCCTATGTGAAACATCGGCTCACTTTGACATCTGCGAAAAATTCAGGAGTCGGCTTTGGCATTTCTTGTCACACTGAATAAAGAATTTTCTGTATTTGACCTATTTTTATTGTATTACCTCTATTGGTATCACATGTACCCCATTCCATTGAGGAAAGCAATAAATTCACGGATGAATCATTGAACTAAGTTGTTTGCTTCTATTTTCATTGCATGTGTTTAAATAAAAGATCCAGTTCTCAAGGTGATAAAAACATAAACAAAACAAGGTGAAAAACTGGCGATGTGTCTTCAACTGGAAATCTAATGCTTTGAGCCAAAAGGTTATGTTTATATGGTAAATAGACCAATAAAAGCCATTAAGGCATTGTGTTCTCCATATATGATGAAATCAAGTTTGTTTCTCACTTTCTTTTTTGATAACATTTAAATGAGTGTAGTGTGTGATATTGTATACAACTTGATCATTACATGAACTACCTCACGGAATCATGAACTTTCTAGCTTGCATCCTTGTATGAACTAATATTTGGTTCTTAAAGGCAGAATCAGATCTAGCAATTACTTTGGTGCTTCATCTTGACGAAAATTGTTTCAATTTATTATTCTGGGCTTATATCATTCCTTGTCATGTCTATTTCTCTAAAAATTACCCAAGTATATACATGTACTTTATTTGAGGAAAACTAAAGATTTTTACAATAATGCAATCATTTGTCTATAAAAATGATTTTTGGCTCACACAGTGAGCCTATGGGATCGACCAGGCGTCCGTCCGTCCGTTGGTCCGTCCGTCCGTTGGTCCGTCCGTCCATTGGTCCGTCTGTCAACATTGGCCGCACAAATTAAAACTGCTATTTGGATTGAGTCGTGTGTACAGTCATTTTATGCATATCCATAATGCCTATTTGGCCTATCATCGCCAAGTTCGCCCGGTTTCCGAGAAATCACTGATTTTGACTTCAAAAAGTCAAATTTTCTATAAATACTAGACACTTTGTTGAAGTAGAACTTTCAAATAACTTGTAGTAGTTGCTATATATGCAGCTTATGTCCTCTGAAGATTTCAAAGCTCTTGGAATTACAGTTTTTGGTGTTTATCTTATAAAATTTGACAAAAAGTAGGACTAAGCCATTTTCAGGAAACTTATGTATAAAGTCAATGGCAGGTTTTGTGATTGACAAGTTTCTCAAAGTTTGCCTTATTCTTGATCATTTCTTGCAATGAATTACATCATAACTAGATTTAAGCATTCCCTACATATTGCTCAATATATGTCAGCATTAAATTTTTACCGTTTTTGAGATATTTGACGTCAAAAAACAGTAAAAATAAGTTATTTTTCAACTTGCTTCAATTTGACCAAATCTTTTTTTGAAAATCATCTACAAGTTACCAGGAGTTCAAATCTGACATTAGTTTTAGGATTTTACCTTTACTTGACCTTCAGTGACCTTTGAAAGGTCAAAAAAGTTGATTTTTCAAATTGATTTTTGGATGTAAATTTTGGTCAGCTTAATCACAAAAGACCTTACTGAGCTCTAAATAAGTAAAATTTTCAAGGTCAAAGGTCATCAAACTAGGTCACACAACTGTGCTGTCTAAGTTTCTCAAAGTTCGAGACTACAAATCCAAATCAATATTTTTGTTTGAAAGTCAGGATATACATTCCTCTGAAGGTTCCAAACTGTGTGAGCACAGGACCGTGGGTCCTATTTTTTATTATAATTTGGGAGAATTTAAGTATATTTCCCCCCTTTTTGCACTTAGAATCTTAAATAACTTCACCAATTGATTACATATCACGTATCTTTTGGGAGATATTATATTTGAGCTTGTAAGGATTACATTGGTAGATCAATTGTACATATTGCTTGCAATCTACTGTATTTCTACTTAATTTTGCTCTACTAATTTTGGCAGAGTTTCTGTTTTGGACATTTGGCAGCTACTTAATTTGGCACACTTGCAATATCACAATGTACTAATAGTTTCAGTTTCAGTTTAGATTTTATTTCTACCCACACCTGTGTGTATAAATACATATACAATATACATGTAATACAAAATTTATACAATATCTAATGACAGTTATTTAGTTTAATCCTTTCAAAATACTTTGTAAAAATTTACTTAGTTGAATTGTATACCTTTTGTTTGTAAATAGTTCAGTAATTTATACATATTTGGCCTGTTTTGGAAGTATGGTTTTAAATATTTCTCCCTTTGATCTTTAAATAATAAACATTCTAGTATAAAATGATATTCATCACCTAATTTGTTACAATGTTTACATATTCGTGAATGTCTTGGTATGTTATTGTACCTTCCAATTTCTTTTGGTAAATTATGATTTGACATCCTAAATTTTGTCACGTACAGACGTATGCTCAATGGGTGATGGAGATAAGATTCAAAGTTAATATTGGTCTTAATTGCCTTGTATAAATGATATGTGCTTTCCTGAAGGTTTGTATTCCATTTTTGAACAAATTGATCTTTTAGTTTGCGTTTAACTCTTAATTTCAGTGCAAATCTACTATCAAAACTTTGAGATGTCGAGATATTTCGAAAACCACATTCATTTAAAATATTCTTTACGCAATTTAACCACTGTGCCTTATAAATACCCTCCTGGTATAGTTTTAACATTGCCTTATAAACTTTACTACTTAAAGTGTCACTTGTGACTAATTTACTCCAAAAATTAATTATCCTTGTTTTTATTGATATTTCAATAGGGTATCTACCTAACTCACTGTATATCATAAATGATGGTGTTGCTCGTTTAACTCTCAAGATATATTTACAATATCTTAAATGAAGTTTTTCACACATGAGCATTGCTTTGGAGCATCCCCATACCTCACATCCATAAGTAAAAATTGGCAAAATTAATGAGTCAAATAAATGTAATTATATATCGAGTGGCAAGCTCATCTCTGTATATCTGCCTAAGACACCATACATAGCATTTTCTGCATTTCGTAATAATAAATTAACATTTTTGCGAAAATTACCATTATAAGAGAACCAGACTCCCAAATACTTGAATGAGTCTTCAATTTTGATTCGTTCTCCATCATACAAAAATCTAAATGTTTCTTTGTTTTTTTTCTTAGAAAATATTACAACATTGGTCTTTTTAGCATTAATGACAAGCTTATTTTGCTCACAATATGATTTTAACGCATCAAGACCACTTTGTAGACCTTGCTTTGTTTCTGATAAGATAACAGTGTCATCAGCATACATGAGGATAAACATTTGAAAAAAACAATCAATACATTCAGGCAATTTCAAATATTGACAACCTTGGCTATTTACAATAAAGTCTTCCATATCATTTACAAATAATGAGAATAATAATGAAGACAAAATTTCGCCAGTTCTCATACCATTCATGCATAGAAAATATTCAGATGTTTCTTCCCATGATTTTGCATTGGAATATACATCTTTGATACATTTCAATATTTTACCAGTTATTCCATAATTCAGTAATTTGCACCACAAACTTGCTCTATCTATTATCTATTTTGTCGAAACATTGTTTAAAATCTACAAACACAGTGTATATTTTTTTCTTTTGCATATTAAGCATAAGATCAATGATGTTATATAAATTGAATATTTGGTCATTACATCCTTGATTTGGCATAAAGCCAGATTGTTTAATATTCATTAAATTGTTTTTAGCTACAAATAAATACAAGCGTTTGTTTAATACTGCTGTAAATAGCTTTCCTAAACAAGACAATAATGTGATGCCTCTGTAATTCTCAGAGTCAGTTTGTCTCCCCTTATTCTTAAAAATGGGTATAATAATTC